AAAAAAAAAAACCCATCATTGACCCCTCATTCTTCCAACATCCTCTAATTCTCCAAACCCTCTCCCCAGCAGGAATCCCCCAAGAGCTTTTTCTTGATACCTCCCTATCTTGAGAAGCGCTGTGTCCCTTCAGTGTGTTATGTCACTGTCTTTCCTCCCACCCCCCACACCTCTCTCCAGTGCGCTTTCCTTTCCGCACCCCTTTCCCACCAGCCCTACACTCTTAACACCTATCTCTTCAGGATGTCTTTTCCTTGTCAATCCTTTCAGCTTCTTGCTACCCAGCATTCATCTCTCCAACATCTCAGCCCCCAGCCCCATCCTGCCACTTCCTTATTCCAGCCTCTAACATCTGCTGCTCAACATCCACTCCTGCAGGTACGACCCAGACAGTGGGCATGACAGCGGTGCTGAGGATGCCACGGTGGAGGCATCCCCACCCTTTGCTTTCCTAACTATTGGCATGGGCAAGATCCTGCTGGGGTCCGGAGCAAGCGCAAACCCAGGGCTGACTGGGAGGGACGGCCCGGCAGCCAGCTGCACAGTGCCTCTGCCACCTCGCCTGGGCATCTGCTTGGACTACGAGCGGGGCCGGGTTTCTTTCCTGGATGCTGTGTCCTTCCGTGGGCTCCTAGAGTGCCCCCTGGACTGCTCAGGGCCTGTGTGCCCTGCCTTCTGCTTCATTGGGGGTGGTGCAGTACAGCTCCAGGAACCTGTGGGCACCAAGCCTGAGAGGAAAGTCACCATTGGGGGCTTTGCCAAACTGGACTGATCCTCTCAGGTGCCTCTTCCAGCTCTGGGGTCTCAGGGCCCTGGCCTCCCCAATCCTCCTGGCACCGGGTTGTTCCCCTAGCAGCTTGTCTCCCAAACACTTCCTCCATGTGGCCCTGTCCCGTACCCTCTGTCTGTGTCTTCCCAGGGCTTTCTGTTGCTTAAGGGGCTCTCTGCTCACCTCTCTGGATGTGCCCAGGGCCCGTGCCCACCATGTCTCTCCCCCTTGCCCTCCCTTAGCATCTTATCCAAATCATGGAGAGACCCTCCTTCCTCACCGCTGTCCTGTGCCCCCAAGGCTGCCCGGGAAGGAGGGCACCTAACACTGGGCATGATTCTCAGTCTGCCCTTTGCCTTGCCAGTCTCCCTGCCCCATCAATGCTGAATGACAGCCTTGGGGCAGGCAGGCTCTGGCCTCCACAGTGAGGGACAGGGGACCATATCATCCTGCTTAATTTATTTGGGTCCCCATACCTCCAGCTGCATGTCCCTATGTTCCTCTTCTCTTGCATGCTTTACCTATCCTGCACCTATGCCAAAGTGCCAAGTCTCCCTCAGGGACCAAGCTAAGGCGGGGTGTCCCTTCTGGGTTGGGCCAGGCAAGGCCTCTGGTGCCAATGCTGCCTCCCTGTGGTAGGCACTGCTAGGCCTGTGCAGAACAACTGCTGTAATTTTCATGATTTATAAACAATAAACTGTGACACCAGGCACATTCTTGCCTTTCCAGAGTGTGACTGCCCCTCTAAGTTTCTGTGCCAGGTATGGGAGGAGAGGCTTTCAATGTGCCCTGATGTTGGTAAAGGAGGAATGCCAGGTGGTTGTGGCACTCACGGGAAGGAATCCCTAAAGCATATGCTCCAATCCCTCCTGCCACACCACTGTCGGGCCCATGCTGTGTGCCCTTAGCCACCAGGGGGCGCAGCACTCTAGCTGTTGGCATCAGGCCTCAGAGAAAGGTCTAGGCAGTAACACTAGGCCCTAGAGATTGTGGTTGAGGTGCCAAGCACCGTGCCTGGGCTCAAAGAGGTCAGGGAACCAGGACCACCTCCTCATTCCCAGAGGCAGCCCACCCCAGAGGCAGTGGGCTGGTGGGGCAGCCAGGGGCCAGAGGGGACAGGACCTGGTGCCAGCACCCGGATCTGTTCCAGCCCCTGCTTATCACTGCCAGTGTTGACTCTGCTGCTGTTATCATTGCCCAAGGATTTACTTCACACTCGGGCAGCTAAGAATAGAGCTGCCTGGGGGCACAGTGCCAGCAGAGGGGGTGGGCATGGGCTAGCACCAGTGAAACCCAGGCCTGACGAGGGGACTGTCACATCACAGGTGGAGCTGAGGCATCCAGCCCAACGAAGCTGGCCTAGGTTTCGTTTCCTTCCTCCCAAGTCACCAGGAACCGGGAAAGAAGTGGCTCCCAACTTCTTCCTCAGGCAACCCTTGCACCCAGCGTCACCTCTTCCCCATATCGCCTACTTCTCAAACACAGCTCCTTCTGACTTCTTGTCCTCTGTGTCTTCTCCCAAGGTCCCTTCCAGGCCTCTTCACAGACAATTTCTGACCACCTCTCTTAGCCATGGTCACACATGAAGGATCACAAGTGGGCACAGGAAGACACATTTTATTGCATCGTGTTTTGGTTCCCACACTCCAGGCTATTTAGTTAGTAATGGGAATGGAACTCAGGGCCTTGTGCTCACCGGGCAGGTGCTTTGCTGCTGAGCTCCCCAGCCCACTTCAGGCTTTCTAGACCAATCCTCCCGGAAGGGCCAACACACCACCGCCACACTGCCCCAGGAATTTTCCCCAGGGCAGGGCTGGGCTTCACCAGGCTAAGATGGGAAAGAGGCTTGGCAGAGCTTCTCAGAAAAACTGAGTAGCCCACCGAGCTCCTGGATCACCAGCCCAGATCCGAATGGAAGGGGCTTTTGGCAGTGAAAAACCTGAGACTGGCACTTCTGCCTGCCACTAAGCAGTGACCAGTTCCTACAAGTTGGCAGAAGTGGCTGCCACTGCTGGGTTCGTGTAGGAGAGGTTGCCACCACCATTTCCTGTAGAAACCTGGGTGGAGAGAAAAGGGACCAAGGTGAGGGGCAGAAACTAACTGTTAGGGTCCCTGGATGTCACTGCATGCAGAGGCAAGAAATTCACAGACTCAGCCCACTCTCAAGGGGTTAACTGAGAAAGAGCACCTGCCTGCCCCGCCTCGGACAGCCAGGTGACTATAAACAGGCTGCTGCTACTGCTCTCCCCTCCTCTCCCTGCCCTTGGTGCTACTGAGAGCCCCTGCCCACTCTTCCTGTCCCTTTCTGCCCCCATTCCTTGCTTCTGTAGCCCAAGATGTGTGTGTGGGTGGGTGTGTATGTGTGTGCGTGTGCGTGTGCGTGTGTGTGTGTGTGTGTGTGTGTGTGTGTTCCCTGATAGGAGGAAAATGGGGGCAAGAAAAGAAAACCTCTCCTCCCCCACCGGAGTGGCTCTCCAGCCCAGGTGGCTGCAGTAATTATTTACCAGGTCCTGGAGAGAAGGCCAGGAGAGGAAAGAGGGAGGGGTCCTTGCTCACCTGGCCTGGCCAAACTTCCTCCTCTGTGGGGAAAACCCCCAGCTTCCCTATCTGCTCCCCACCTAGGAGGTGAGTGGGGCCTGGCACCCCTTGTGACTCCTATGGAAAGGGCTCCCCTGGACAGAATGCCCCATGCATTTCTCAGGGCATCCTAAGGAGCACTGTGTTGGTGCCAGGTCAGCCATCAGCAAATGCAGACAGACTCTGGCCAGCTAGAGAGCTCAGCAGATTAAAGCACCTGCTTAGGCAGACACAGGGACCAGGGTTCGATCCCCTGCATGACATGCTGTCCCCACCCCTGGGGTGCGCAGGGCATGCTGAGATGACAAGTAGGACTGAGCATGGTGGCACGCGCCTGTAATACCAGTGTTTGGAAGGCTGAGAGCAGGAGGATCACTATGCGTCCGATCTGTGTAGTGAGACCCTGTAGATCCTATACTAAATACATTTTTTTTTAAATGCAGACAGGCTCAGGCAACACTACAGTACCAGCAGTGTGAGCACTCATTCTCAGGTCCCCTTTCTCCCAGTCTCCTCCCCGAGGTCTGATGGCCATGCCCAATATCTCCCTGACCACAGCCTCTGCCCCAGCACTGCCCCAACCCTGGCCCACGGGGCCCAGCCTTACCTCCTCATATGGGCTGCGTCTGGTGCTGCCAGGGGGAACATAACGCCCATGGGTGTGGTAAGTGGGATATTCACTCATGGGGTGGTAGGTGTCCCGGGTTGGAAAGATGTCCAGGTGCCCATAGCTCTTTCGGCGACACTGACACACAGCCTAAGGATACAGGAAGTTATGGTGGGTTATAGGGTTCCTTCCCCCACCCCCCCCCAGGGACTCTGGTGAAGGCCTAAGCCCAAGCACTCACCAGGGCAATGTAATAGACAATGGCCAGCAGGACCAGAACACAGACCAGCACCAGCAGGGCGATGCCCCAGCCTGGTACCCCAGGCTGGGCAGTGGAAAAGGGAGCCTGTATCTCACGTGCTAAAATGAAAAGCAGTGGTCAGGGCAATCTCCCTCTGTCAAGACCAACATGAAGAGTAGGAACCCAGTAGTGGAGGAAAAGGGCTGCTGCCTCATGCTGGGCTGCAGCTGGGGATGGAGCCTCACCATTGATATTTGTGATTGACAGATTATTTTTTTTGGCTGCTTCACTAAGCTGGGTGAGTCCTGACTTCACAGTTTCATCAATAGCAGTATTTTTCCGGAAGATCAGCATCGATTCCACTGCCACAGACCCTGATCTGGTCACAGGAAATGGGCAACTCAGGCATGGGTCCTCTAACCTCTGCCTCAACATTTCTCCCCAGCCACAAATGTACCCCCCTCCACAACATCATGACAACACCCCATACACAGTCCTACCCAGACAGCCATACCTAAACTTGATGTTCAAGAGGCCCAGAAAATCTTGTTGATAAATCTGCAAAAACTGGGGTGAGAAGGAAAAGACTCAACTTTGATGCAAAGGATTCAAGCAGTAGTGAAGGCTGCTTTTGAGAAGTACAGCAGAGCAAAGGCAGATACCCACCAATCTAGAAATGCTGTTCTTCAGCTCTTGATAGTAGGGGTTGCTGGGATCTTCAAGAGAAGAATTAAATTGGAGGTTCATAATCTCAAAAGACAGAAAAAAGAGAGAGACCATAACAGACAGCTGAGGAGAAGAATGATTGGAGGAAGTGGAGGGAGGTACTGTGTTATGGCTAGTGCTACCAGCAATTGTCCTGTTGCTGGGGCTGGTAAGTGTGGTAGAAGTAGGAGATGGATAGCTAGGAAACAAGGATGTAGTAGCCACAGTAGACGAGCCATTGTGAGGTGAAATGGTGGCTGAGTCTGATGCAGAGCTGCTAACTGGGGCCCAGGTGCCTGTGTGGACTGCAGTGGGGGCCACTTCTGTAGAGCTGGTGGATGCTGGGGCCGAGGTGCCTGTGTGGACTGTAGGGGTGGCCACTTCTGTAGAGCTGGT